TTTTTTTTGGAGCTTGATTCGATTAGTGTGTTTCTTGATTAAAAAAATGAGTATTATATTGTTATCTTTATCTGAAAAAATGAGAGAAAATAAAAGGAATGAGTTAAGCTAAATTGTGTATTTGAATGGATTTTTTGAAAAATACCAGATGAAGCAACAACTGGAGTGGTTCAAGCATTAATAAGATACTTGGTATTAAAGGAGCCAAGAAAGAAACAGTGAGATTTGAATCTTTACATTTAATAGTTTAATACTCTTTACTCGTTGTCTTGAGTACTGAACCTATATTGAATTCACTTATNCTTAGGAAAAATATGTTGCATTCAAAGTGTTTGATAAAATGACCAAGTGGAAAATTAGTATATAATTAGGCCTAAACTAGCAATTGGATTTTTTTACCCTGCACTATTATTAAAAAAAAATCTCTATCAGAACGGAGACATGGAGACACGGGCGGTGTCTCCATATGTCTCCATCCAGGATGGAGACAGACGACCTAGAGACACGACATGTCTCCATCCATGATGGAGACACCGCCGTGTCTCCATTCGGATGGAGACATGGAGAAATGTCTCTGTCCAATGTACGGAGTTCCATGTCTCCGTCCACTGGATGGAGACATTTCTCCATGTCTCCGTCTACTGGATGGAGACATGGCGGTGTCTCCATCCTGGATGGAGGTGGCTCCGTGTGCCCGTACGGAGGCACCCCTTGTGCCTCCGTGCACGATTTTTTTTTTACACAATGTTACTAATAACATTTTTTCCTTTTGTCTCCTAATGTAGGTTTCCTTCTTAGTCTTCTCTTTATCCCTTCCACATGTTTTTTTTTTTATTTGTCATAACATTTATATAGGACTTAGTGTAATTATTTCTTCTTTTTGGCTTGATATATCCCCTTTATGTATGTCTTTGCAGTGCTCCAACTGGAAGAAAAAGAAGAGGTGGTTCAGGAGGAGTAAACAAACTATGTGCTGTTTCTCCTGAACTACAAACCATCGTAGGGCAACCGACTCTGCCAAGGATTGAGGTTTGGCCACCTGTTTTCTTTTCTTCATTATTCTTCCCAATTAAGATGTTTAAATTCGAACCCAATATGGTGCTATTACAGATCGTGAAGCAGTTGTGGGCTTACATAAGGAAAAACAACCTTCAAGATCCAAATAACAAAAGAAAGATTATTTGCAACGAAGAGCTCCGATTGGTTTTCGAAACTGATTGTACTGACATTTTCAAGATGAATAAATTGCTAGCTAAACATATAATCCCTCTCGAGCCTACAAGTATGGCTCTTATAAGAAAACTATTTTCATTTTCCATTATGATGGTGTTGATGCTCATGGTAGATTTTGAAATCTTACAGAGCAGACTGTTCAAAATTCTAAGAAACCTAAAGTCGATGTCGAATATAGGAGCCAAAATGATGACCCCGTCCCAATTGTGACAATATCTGAAGCCCTTGCGAATTTCTTTGGAATCGACGAACGAGAAATGTCATAAGCAGAGGTATTAAGGCAGATCTGGGAATACATAATGGTCCACCAGCTCGAGGTCTGTAAACAAGTAAATGGCTTTCATTCATCATTCCACTTTATCTGAGATTTTGCTTTTTCATGGTAATCACTCAATAAGGATTACAAGAGTGCTACTCAGTTTCACTTTTAATTAACTTTCAGTCTTACTCCCTAAATATTTAAACATGCTCTCCAAATTGATTTCTCTAATTTCTTCACGCACAATAAATAAAACACATGAATGGAGCTTGAACTATGTATTTTCTGTGTAGAAGCTCTATTCAGTTAAAGAATGTAGGTTACCATGTAAATTGTTTAAAGCATAGTCTCACTTTTTGAGAGGTTAGTTATGTATCAATCTGCTATTCCTGCTTGCATGGTTAAGGGGATCATATTGTCATCACATTTACGATCTTTTCTCCTATAATTTTCCCGATTTGGAAATGATTTATAAGAGAAATCTGTATTAGCAGCATATAATTTCTGTCCAATGTGCATTTTTAATGATAATCATCTTCAATATATAAGCACTATGTTTTAGTATCATTGAATGTATATTTGTTTATGTTTTTGGTTTTTTTATTCACAGTTCCCATTTTTGTAGTCATTTCAGCTCATCCTTTCAAATCAAAGACAATTTTTTTTATGTTATATGCATTCCCTTCATTCGTTAATACACTGCAGGAACATTATGATACTCTTTTCTCTGAGGCTTTTTCTTCTTTTGCTGATTATGTTTTAATCAAATGGAGAAAAAATGCAATTGGAGCTGTTTTTTAAGATGAATGGAAATAAGTATGTGGTGAGACACATTTACTGATTACTTTCGTTAGAATCCAGAGTTTGCTGAGCTATTTAGCTGCAAGACAAATTTATGTATTACACTGTTTTCTC